AGGCGCTGCCCTACATTGCCAGTTTTAAATGCAATTATGACAATATTTAACTCATGTAAAAACTACACACTTCATACTTTATGGCTCATTTCCAGAGGTGCCTTGAATAGACCAGGACAGACTCAAGCCAGCCTCAGGAAGGTTGAAGGAGGAAGAGAAGTGCCGAATCCTGAGGGCCTTGGGGTCCCGCCCCACTGTGCAGGACGTGCACACAGGGACTCTCCAGTCTGACAGCTACAGGTTTTTGCTCTCACCAGACACTGGACTGGCCAGGTTCACCTTGCCTCTGCTGAGACTTAGCCTCCAGCTGGTTGCCCACAGATGCGCATGGTGCTGCTAGCTTAGGAGCCCGGGGCCAGGGTGGAGAAAGCGGCCACTGTGCTCCACCTGAGAGTAGACATGGATTGTGTTTGACTCTGCCCTCCGTGCTGGGGGTTGAGGGCTTTAATATAGAAGAGCAGGGTGGGAAGGGGGAGGCCTGGCAGGTCCTGAGGTGCCAGGGAGCAGGAGAATAGGCTGCAGACCACCCATCCTGGGCATGGTGGGCAGCAGGCTCTGTGACCTCAGCTACACCTGCAAACACAGGTTGGAGGATGAAATGATTAAGACTTTCACATGGCCACACAGGATGTTCCACCCCAGGTGCAGGGCACTTTGGAGCATGGGGCCTTTTGTGAATATGCAAGTCACATGCGTACAAAAGCAGCCCTGGGGAATAGAGCTGAGGGACATTCTTCAGGCCACTTGGCATTTCTAGGCCTCCAGTTTCCCTTGGGTCAGACAGGATGGGGAGATCCACAGAACAAAGAAGGGACTCGCTGTCAGACCACATGTGGACAGGGACAGGGATGCCTTTTGCGCTCTTCCTGTGTTAACAAAGTAAATTCTCCCTCGGCCCTAGGGTTAGTTCCCGTCTACAGGTGAGGTGATATTAGTTCCCGTCTACAGGTGAGGCCCTGAGACTGGATGGGGTTAAATGACCTTCTGAAGGAAAGTAGTGCAGTGGGAGCATGGCAGGGGTTTGTGCCTAAGCAGTGGGCCCCAGGCCCTCCTCTTATCAGCACTGTGTTCTGTTTCCCTGCGACCTGCTAACCTATTTCTGCCTCTCACCTCTCCTCCCTGCACAGGCCCCTGTGGGCTCTGAACTTCTTTGCTAGACTATGGCATTTCACCTTCATCCTCACCACATTGGCCGTCTCCTCTTGACACTGCAGAGACACACTCCTAACAGAGGGGCTCCCAGCCTAGCCCCCTTCTCAGACCAGCCCCTGCACGGGCTTCTGGTCAGCTCCTAGAACAGGCACTTTTGGGGGCAGGAACCCACCTACATCTGGTCAAGCTGTGGCTGAGCAGGGGCTGCCCAGGTAGCCCCTGGGCAGGAAGGCCCAGGAAAGTGAAGTCCCTTAGGTGGTATATGGGAAACCTAGGACTGCCCATCTTGGCCTCCCCTTCAGGGTCTGGAGCTGAGGTCTCATTTAAAGGAGGAACCTGCACATCCTGACCCCTTGTCTAGGCACATCCTGACCCCTTGTCTAGGCCCAGGTGTCGGGAGAGAGCTTTCCATTCTAAAACCAAATGCAGGGGAGGGGACCTCAGCTAGAATGACAGGCGGCAGGCCCCAGGCTATGAGAGGAGCCATCTCTCCTCTAGTATAAATAAACATGGAACTAGCCACTTGGGGGCTTCCTCTGTGGCCTGGGGCATCCTCACTGCTGTCCCAGCCCAGGCCAGCTAAAAGCTATGGCCCCGCAGTCCCTGTGGTCTCTGGTGGCCCCGGTCTTACCCTGCTCTCCCTTCTTCCTTGCACGTGGCAGAACTCCATCTGGAAGGGAACTTCTTGCACCGCCTCCCCAGCGAGGTCAGTGCCCTACAGCACCTCAAGGCCATTGACCTGTCCAGGAACCAGTTCCAGGACTTTCCCGAGCAGCTCACCACCCTACCGGCACTGGAGACCATCAACCTGGAGGAGAACGAGATTGTGGGTGAGCAGACCCAGCCCTACTGCTGCATGAGGCTCTCACATCTTCATGGGCAGGAGGGAAAACTCAGGCATTCTGGTCTGAGGTACCTGCCTCAGGGCACTCAAAATCAGCCATTTTGGATGCTTGGTTTACCCAGGCAGGTAGATGGCCTTGCCTCTCTCCACAGCACAGCCCTGACCTAGCCAAGCCACTGTGAGCCTCCAGCTCTCCCTGTGTTGGTTTCTGCCTGCTGTCTTAGGCTGTCCCCAAGACCCTGTGGCTCTGCCCTCTGTGTGCTTGCTCCTCCTTCAGTCCCTGCTGACAAGGGAGCTTGTCACGATTCTTAGCAGGGGTGCTGGGCAAGTGTGTTGAGAACAGCCTCTTTGAGCCTTCCAGTGCAAGCAGCATGAGCTCACACTGTCAGCCCAGCCTCCAGGGCTCCCCACCAGGGAACCAGGGGGTCTGATAGGTGCCTTCTACAAACAGTAGACCCCAGGGGCTAAGTTCTGCTGAGGTCTGAGAGCAGGCCCTCCTTCCTCCTGCACAATTATGTATCTGTCTCATCAGGACTTTGGAGGGCTGAGGGGCCGCTCCAGTTAGCAGTCTAATCTCCCCAGAGAAGCCAGGCTTTCAGCCGGTCCAGCTTCCCCCTCCCTTCTGTACTCCTCCCTTGGCGGCCGTGGCCCCATTCACCCTCTCTCATTTTGCCTCTAATATTGATGCTGTTCTAATGCCAGTGATGTCAATAATAGCCCCTTCAGTTACACTTTGATTTTTGTAAGCCGTTTCCAGCCATTATGCCATTTGATTAAAAGCAAGAGCTTTTCTATGGTTTGGACCTGTCTGGTGGGGAATGGCTTGCCTCCTGTGCTGGTGAGTGCCTGTCCCCCAGGATGCTGCAGGTAGGACTCCAGCCTGGCCGGGTGGGAGGTGTGACCAGCTGACCTTGGAGGGTCTGGGTCTGTTCTTTGACACATGAATAAACTGAGGCTTACGCACATTGTTGGTGAACATCAGGTTGCATGGTGAGCCTGCCCATGTGCCAAGATGAGAATACGTGATTCCAGAACTCAGCCCCGTGTCTAGGAGGGAGTTCACTTGCCCTCTTCTCAGATAGGGCCCATAGGGTATGGGCTCTGATCCCATCTTGTGCTCTTAAGACCAGGGTCCCCAAGTGAGCCTCTACACAGTCTTCAAGAAGAAAGGGCCTGCCCAGAAGTACCTATTCACTGTGAGGCTCCCCTTCTCTACTATCCTGATCACCCCGACTCCTGCCATAGAGCCCTTCATTCTCTGTATTCCTGGCCAAGCTGTCCTCACCTGGGTCCTTTCTACCCTGCTTTTTATTCCCTGAGGCACTCCTGATGCCTCTACTTCCTTCTGCTGCTTATCTAACTGGGGCAATAACCAAGAGCTACTATGGCTGGTGCCAAGACCAAAGCTGGGCATGTTGCTGGTAGGTAGGTAGTCAGGACTGGTGCTGGCCTAGGCTTCCCCACTTCCTACCTGCAGCCTTGGAAGACTCCCAGCAGCTCCCTGAGCTTCAGCTTCTCATCTTTCAAGTGGAAGTTGTCCCCATGCCCAGAAGGTGGTCAGAGATGAGAAGAAGGTGTCTTTTTCCGGGCAGGGGAGCAGGCTGAGTGGACATCATTTCTAGCTGCAGTCCAAGAAGTGACTTTCATCAAAGTAGGCAGCACAGGGCAGCCAGGCCCCCTAATACCTCTCTTCCCACAAGGCTGAACAATGTCTCTCAGCAACAGCCTCGGACTGAAGACCTGGTATTGGAGTTCACCTTGCCTTCCTGCAGAGTGACAGTAATAACTCTTTACACAGGGAAGCACCTCCCATCTTACCAAGAACATGTGCACTCCCGGATCCACAGGGTGATGGTGGTCCATGTAGGGACCAAGGCTGTAAGCCTTCTTGGCCTAGTGCTTTTTGTACACCTGGCCAGGCAAAAGAGACAGCAGCAACCCGATGTGTTTCCCGGTCAGTACAGCCTATGACAGGCCTGGCAATATGGAGATGCCAGGGGCTGTCCCTGTCCAAGTGACCAGCTACTCCCAGAGGAGCTCAGCTAATTGCAGGGCTCTCTCTACTGGGGAGGCCTTGGTCATCCTCCCTCTGCCCCCAGCTGGCAAGAAGGAGCACATGGAGGCAGCTGCTGTTCCCTTGCTGGAGTCATCTTGCTTCCGTTTTCTACCTCTCCCTGGGCCATTGTAGTCACTTAGTGGCTTCTTAACACCCAGGCCAGCCTTTCTACCCATGTGGGAGGGTTCAAGACCCCAAAGGGGGTGCTGGAAGAATGAGGCACTGCGATTACAGGGAAGAAGCAAGGGCTGTACGCAGTCCTTCATTATGGAAATAGCTATCCACTGCTCATTGCTTGTAGCTGATCTCCAGCAGGATCTCACTGGGATAATTGTAGAAGAAGCTTAAATCACTGTCAGAGGGGTTGATTCTTTGTTGTCAGAACCCTGAGAGGGTGCTGGAAAAATAAAATTTGTATGAGAAATAAATTTGAAATGCATGAGTTGCCTTAAGGCTTTAAGCAGGAAGGGAGAACAGGCAGCTCT